GTATGGCGTCCTCGAGCGGCCATGCATCTCCGCTGCTATCCTGCACTGGCGTAGCTCATCTCGTCCTCCGAGCTCCTCGTCCCTAAGCATGCCTTTCCTATTCAGCGTCTGCAGGATGCGGGCGACGCTCGCCTTCGAACCCCGCGAAGTGGCCAGAAGCTCCGACCGCAGCTGCATCCTCGTCTCATCATCGATGTCGATCGTGGCGGGTGCGCCCCGCTTCATGTTCGCAACACTGAACCTGAAACGGCTGTGGAAGAATGGCGACGGTTGCGATGATACTAGAGACTGCGCGTGATAATGCTTATATGCATGGTGAATGCAAGACGTTGTTGTGTAAATAGTTATATTTGTATGTATATGAATGTATGTATGTCTGCGTGTACGCATGTATGCATGCATGTGTATATGTATGTATGTGTATATGCATATATGTATGCATGCATGCGCGTTTGTATATCTATATATGTATGTATATGTACACGTGCCGACATCGATGCACATCCCTCGCGCGCGCAGCGGTGCGCGTTTTCGGAAGGAGGGTGAAACGTTGTCGCACTCTGATGCACCTTGGCAAGCTACCTTCGGCATGCCGCAACACAAACTTGCACAGGCGCAGAGAATGATGGCAGACACAGGGCCGCAAGTGAAGTCCCGCATTCACGCGACTCGAAGCGGATGACGGGTCGCGATGGGAGGGGACGGGGCCTGCTTATTCGAGCGGGAAGGGGGGGATCCGAGGCGATGCCGTCTGTCGGCAAACGCCCCCATGGTAGCTCCAGAAAGGTTTAACACAATTCCACAGCATGCGCCCAGCATCAGATCTCGAACGTCGACATTTGATTTACGATTTCGATGTGATGGTACTTTCGCAAAGCAGATCACACACATCGTGTGTATTTGTGTCGCTCTGAGGCGGCTTGCAAAACTGGCGCACAACACTCGACACACCTGCACATCACTTCCATTGGGCACTATATTATACAAAGCCGTGTGTGAAAATCTGAGGCCCGTCAACATGGCGACGAGAATATGCTTCAAGAGGGCGCTCAGTCCGAGTCCTCCTCAGCCGCTGCCTGCACAGCCGCTGCCGCGCGCCTCGAGGCCCGATGCTGGTCTCGCGTCAGCGCGTCGTCGCTGGCGGGTCCATCGCACTCGGCGTCTTCGTCACCGTCTCCACCTTCACCACCTCCACTGTCCTCCTCTTCCTCATCCTCATAGTCGTCCTGGAACATACCGCTATCGCTGTCCTCGCCCTTCTCCTCGGAGGGCGAGGTGAACCCCGACCCCTGTTCGATGCATATCTTTCGCTCCAAGCGCCGAACTTTGCTCCGAATCTCCCCGATGCGATTCATGGTCTCCACGTGGCGAGCCATCACGAGAGCCTCCAGCGCCTCGATTCTGGCCAACACCTCCCCGAGCCCTCCCCCCTTTCCCCCGCCCTCCCCCCTACCCCTCTTCTCCCTCTTCCCCCCTCTCCTCCCTCTTCCACCCTCATCCCTCTACCAACCTCCCAGCCCCTCCTCGCGTATGGGATCAGCCGAGGCACTCGCCATGCCCCCCCTGCGGCGCGGGGGCCTGCACTTCTGCTAGACGTAGTGCGTCAAGCCTTTGAACTGGAGTCAGCTCTCCGCTCGGGCCTAAAGCAACGGATATCGATGTCGATGTTTCTATCGAGTTCGATGTCTCTACTGGCGTCGATGTCGATGCTTTTATCGATATCGATTTCTTCCATCACAAAACCCCATCTCAATGCTGGCCGATGGGCTTTCCGACGGACGGAGCTCGACCGCGGGGCGCGCAGGCAAACCGGCCATAGGAGATATATCTTGCCTCGGGGGTCCTCCATCCTCATTCCTCCATCCTCCATCTCCCCCTCCACTCTCAATCACCCATCCCCCTCCTCCTTCATGGTGATTGTGGCGATGATGATGATGGCGATGATGCTGCAGATGGTGATGAGGAAGATGATGATGATGATGACGACGATGGCGATGATGATATTGTGTTTTGTTCAAAGCGCGTGCCATACATCCCCAGCACATTCGTTTATCGTGGGCGTCGACGTCGATGTGCGCGGTTACCCACGCCACCTCGGTATCGCTGGCATCCAACCACACCGCCCATCATATTGAAAGACACACTCCGTCGTCGATATCGATTGCGCCGTCAGTGGCGTGCTGATCGCACTACATGCGAGATTGCACCTACAAAAAGAAACGCCTCATGCCTTTGCGCTTATGCATTGGCTTAGCTGGAGGCATGCCCTGCAAATCCAAAGCGCACAACAAGGCGCTGCACTTCTTGATGTCGAGCTTCATTCCGAGATCATCCTCATCCCGCTGGTGGTTTTTCAGCATGACCATATAGTGCACGCGGCTACAATAGAAGCACACGTCGTCCTTCCCATCATCGTCCTTCTTGCACTTGCACCCCGCCTTCACGTAGCGCCTCAAGAAGTGGTTCCTCAGCTTCTTGCGGTACCAGAGCGTGCCCCAATACTGCGGGTATAAGATGCCGTCCTCGTCAGCCCGCTGCTTGATCTGCACCAACTTCCACGGCGTGGGCCCCTCCAGGTACGGCACCATCTTGACGACCTTCATCGGGTGGAACCGCACCTTCTTTTCCATGTCGCCCGCGGGCTTGGCGGGCTTGTATTTCTTCAGCGCTGGCTGGAGGCCGAGCTCGTCATCGCTCAAGTCCATGCTCGGGCTGAGCGTGAAGCTCGGTGGAGTGAGCGCTCCCCGCATGACCTCGTCCCTCGGCGGGAACGGCGTCATATTCTCCAGGCCTGTCGGGAGCGGAAACTGCAGGTGCGGAGCCGTCTCCGTCTGCGCTGCATAATTGGTGAAGGACATCGACACTAACTGCAAGGATCGATAGGCGATTGCGAGTGCACGTGGGCTTCGATCGTCGACGTACAACTGTAACGAGCCAAAATGGCTGGGGAGGCCGCGCTAGACGATACAGGGGGCGGCCTCGGAGCAGAGTGAGAATAAGATCGTAAAGTAAGATGGTATACCATGATAGTAGAGCACGCCACGATGTACGATAATCGAATACCTTTATGAGCTCGTCACATCTTCGGCTCCAGGCTTCCTATATCTACTCTCTACTATATTACTCTCACTCTACAATCGTTTACTGTGTTACTGCGGAGGAGAGAGAGGGAGAGAGAGGACAATAACACAATGGATTTGTTCGGTTCACATTGAGGCAGTCAGAAGGGCGTCACTCCCAATGACGCGCTGCGTGCAGACGCCTATGGCGATATCGATCTGAGTCCGTGTTGCCCGACGTCGATGGCTGGGTAACGTCCCCGTGGCACATGCGAACCTGACCGTCTGCGCACTGAACGAAAAGATAACACACGATGCAACTGCAAATGCAAACGCTGTTGCCCTACACCAGCGTACAACAATGCTCAGCTGAGCGGGGTCGCGCTCCAATCGTGACTTCACTACGACGAGCGCCACTCCGTAAACTTCGATATCGATATATCTGCGAACAAAACGATTGTATCGGCGTGCCCTGCAGGGAGCGCTATGCCCAGCGTAGCGCACCACCTTAATTCGGAACTCGGAGCGCTGCTGCACCGCCTACCAGTTCCCCTTGTCACCGTCGATCCACTCGACCACAGCCTTCCACGCCTTCTTCTCGTCGCCGCCGTACGCGCCCCAGGTCCCCCAACTGAACATCTTGTCCCAGACAACGCCCACCTTCTTGACCCGCCACTTGGAGTTCTTCTCGCCCGTATAGATGGCATAATCCTTGTAATAGATGGGGGGCTGCTTATTGAGCGCGGGTAGCGGGGGCGCCTTGGTCGACGTCGATGTTGGGCAGGCCTTGGCCTTGGCCTTGGCATTGGCCTTGCCTTTGGCCTTGGCCTTAGCTTTGGCCTTGCCCTTGCCTCTCGTCGTCTCGGTCTCCTCCAACATCTTCTTGATGTACTCGTCGATCTCCTCCTGCCGTACCGCGGGCCCCCCGCTGGCAGCGGCGGGCTTCTTCATAGCTGGATGCTGCTCCTCATCGTCTTCGTCGTCATCGACTTCGGCCAGCGCGCGCTTCCTCGAAGCTTGGAGCGGCGGCGTCCCCGAGCCAGGATCGGGCACGGCGCCCTTTGGAGCGGGCGTCGTCGGCGGCTCGAGGGACCCCGCTGATGAGGTCCTCCGCAAGCCCGATGGGGGCTCATTCAAGAAGGTCAGCGGGATGTCGCCCTGCCGCGGACCCCCTCCTGCCGACGCGGTGCCCATGAGCTGGCCGAACATGTTAACCATCGTGCTCATCTGCTGCATGAATGCGTCCTGGTGCCTGCTGTTCGGGTTCGGGCGCTCGAACGGGACCATGCTGCTGCTGCCCCCCGAGGGGTGCTCATATATTCCGTTCGTTTTGCGGGCTTTCGTGATCTGCCCTGCTTGCAGGAGCAGGGCCTCGCTAAACTAAGGCTTGGGGAGCACGGAAGCCCCGAACACCTGCGGCTCGATCTCGACGAATTGCGACACAAGGAGGGGGTAGTTGCAGACAGACGATTGCGCCGAGCGCCTCGATGCACGTTTCTTCTTGATCTGCTCCTCTGGGCAGCACGCGACCCCCATCGGGCGCCCAGCCTCGAGCATGTAGCCCCGTGGGGTGCCCTAGGGGGAGCGGGGTCGTCTGGTTGAGGCCCCTGGATCGCCAACAAATTCAATAAAAGGCGGGGCAACATCTTGAAAAAAGCTGGGTGAAAACCTTGGCCCGAAACATGAGATGGCGATGTGGACGGAGAGGGAGGGGGCAGTGGGGATGGGGAGAGAACGAGAGTGTGGGTGATAGTGGTTACTCGATGTCGACACGTTCGGGGCCTCTCAATATCGACATCGCCTCGTCCTCCTCCTCACCCACCTTCTCCCCCTGATCCTGCCCATATAACCCCCGACCCCGATGCTGAGACCTGGGCGCTCGATGCGGGGGTCGCGCATTCGACGTCGAGTGCATGCGATGTCGATGTCGAGTCCTTGAGCTGGTTCTTGTACTCGAACGCCTGCGCGGGCGTAGGCTCCCGACCCGCGGCGATCTCGCTCGCGACCACGAGGGCTGCCAAGCGAGGCACCGTCTTCTGGTCGGGGTAGTGCAGGCCGAGGGTGTGCACGAAGTACTCGCCAACCTTATCGAGCTTCGCCTGGTGGGGGTCCTGTAGCAGCGCCCACATCTCCGTCGTCAGGTAGTGCTCTGGGTACTGGTGCGTCTGGTACTGCACGTTGAAGTTACGCCCGTTACGCTTGCCCGTCATGGCGATGTCCATCGTCACCGACTCCGTTACTGCAGTTATCAGCTCGCGCTTCTGGGCGGCCGTGAGGATGTCTGTCGCGTTGATGGCGTGTACGGTCTGAGTCGCGTCATCCCTGGCGCAACCACCACGACGGACGATCATCTTCACGTGGGCGACCTGGCGCTCGATCACCTGGGCCCGATCCGCATCCTCCATCTGGGCGGTCACCGCCCGCGCGAAGTCGACGACGCCCTTGAAGGTGGCGAGACACGACGCCCTTGCGGTGGGTGCCGCCGCCGCGCTCGTCATGGCGATGCCGATGCGGACGCGCTTCGATGCCGATTGCACCTAGGCGCTACGAGCCCAAATGGTGACGGTAAGATGGTGATGCATAAGGCCCTGCCCCCTCCTCCAGGCCCTCCCCCATCTTCCAGCCCACCTCGTCCTGACCTCCCACGCGGCCCATGAGGCGCTGGGCGTACCAGTTTGGGTGGCCCGATTCGCGACCACCTCGATCGCAGCCGACGTCGATGGGTGACGAGGTGATGGTCACCATCACCTCGTCAATCCACGGCGAGGTGATGGTCATGGTGACCATCACCTCGTCACCAACTATCTTCGCTCATGACCGCTGGGGTGGCTGGACGCGCCCAACGATTGCCCATGTCAGCGCTCGCGCGCGCCTCGTTCGGCACCCCGTCGCATCAATGGTCCATCGCTCGTCAGCCTGGTGCCCCCCCCTTTCCCCCACCCCCACCACCTCCTCATGTCGCTCCCACTCCCCATCCTCCTCCTCGACGGGGGGGGCGGCCTGCGCCTCGACGGCGCCCGCGACGCGCGGCGCGGCGGGGGGGCGGCGAGAGAGCATCAGCGAGGGAGCACCGATAGTCGACGCGACGACGACGACGACGACGACGACGACGACCACGATGAGGGCCATCGCGAGACCAACAGCGTGTTGCACAAACAGTTCAAGGAGATGGGGGGGGGGTCGTCCACGAGTGCGCGGCGAACGCGCGCCAGGCACGCTGCCACCGACGACGACGAACGACGACGACGACGGCGGCGGCGGTGACGAACGACGACGACGACGACGGCGGCGGCTCTGGTTTTTGCATCTGCAGCGGCGCCGTCTCTAGCCGAGATCGACAGTCGACTGTGCCCTGCTCCTCGCGCTTATCATCTGCGGCGCTGCGAGGGCCTAGGCGGGGTCCTCGAAGGCCTTGGCTGCGGTGCCTCGCTGCGCGACGCCACGCGCGGCTCCACCGCGTCCTCGACCATCAAACTCGAAAACACAAGTCGACATCCATTCAGCAGCAAGCCGCGAAAGAGGCCCCATGTACCCTAAGGGGCCCCGAAGAGAGGTGGCGCCGCACTTAAATACACACCGCAGCCTCGCACCGTGAGCACGGGAGGTTGCGTCTAAGGTCGTCGTCGTCAGCCTACCGACGCCACTGGCCCGTGTGATACTGCTGCTACAGGGCCTGCCGCGCGTTCGTCACGCACTTGTGAACGAACTTCGACGGGTTCGTGAGGCTCCCCTCGCCCATCTTCTTGAACAGCTTGTACAACACGTTGTTGGCCTCGCGATGACCCTCATCGCTGAACTGGGCCAGGAGGAAGACGCTCTGCTGGGCCGTCTCGTCGATCTCGTATCGACGAAGAAGGCCGAGCCAGGCGCGAGGGTCCCGCTCGAACGTGGCCCGGACGGGCTCCTGCACCTCCCCAGCGACCGCAGGCGCCTCCTCCGCGGCCGCCTTCCATCGACTTCGATGTATTTAGCAAGCCTGTATTTCGATAGTCGGGGGCCATATGCGTGGCCAGGGACTCGGGGCAGGGGGCGGGGTCACGACCACTCGGGGGCACTCAGGACCAGGGGGGGCAACGCTGGACTACAATGTGGTTCACGTGAAACGGCCTTCTGTTCCACCTCCATGCTCACTGGCGTTGCAGATGATGAGTTAGCGTCGACAGTCGAGGTGGCTTCGCCAGCTGCTCGAGGATCGACATCTGATAACTTCTCGGCCTTGGCGCCGCCATTTCATTCGTAGGAGGGGAGGGGTCAGTTGTTTCGACATCCAAGCGGATGAGGTCTCAAAATAGACTTGGCACCCAGAATGAGGATGAGGGAGAGGATGACGATGGGGAGGAAGCGGGGGGGGAAGGAGGAGCAAGATGAGGGGCAGATGGGCGGTGGGCGAGATAGCTGGGTGCGTGAGCGAACTGAGACAGACGTATGTGCTGAGGCTCCTGGACCGCCACAAAAAAAAAACAATGAAAGGTCGAGCAAAAAAAAACTAAACGTAGACCCCCCGCACTGGAGATGGCGATATGGACGGCGAAGGAAGGAACATGGGGGAGAGAACGAGAGTGCGTGTGGCAGTGGTTACTCGATGTCGACGCTTTCGGTGCCTCTCGATATCAACGTCGCCTCCTCCTCCTCGGCCACCTCCTCCTGCTCCTGGTATCTCTCCTCTTCCTCCGCATCGTCGGACTCGCGGGCGTAGACCCCCCGCGTTGGCACTGGGCGCCAAGCACTGCTGGTCCCCGACGTGCCGTAGACGGGGCCAGCCTCCTTGCCGCCCTTGGTGCCGCCCTTGCCGCCCTCGCCGATCCTGCGCGACTTCTCGGCCCGCGGCGGCGACCCTGGCGGCGGCACAGGCCCGACATTGCGCACCATGTGGTACTCGGTGTAGACCCAGTCCCACAGGCTCTTCCACGCTGGGTACGCCATGTGGTCGTCCCTGACCGCCTGGCTCGCGTAGAGCTGAGAAAAAGGCGCCTCGCCGCCCCCCGCCAGCTCCCATGCCTTCCCAGGCGCCATCCACGCCTTGACGCTCTGCAGCATGCTGATGTGCCCGCGCTTGCCGTACTGCTCGCCCGAGTTGAAGATCTTCGGGTTGTACACCCGCACGTGCATACCCTCGACCTTGTTCCTCGACATTATGAAGTTCAGCATCGCGTTGCACATGCGGCCCACCGTGTCGCTGCGATGAAAGCCGTGCTGGCACTCCACCAGGACGGGGATCGACGGCCACTCCTTGACCTTGTAGTTCGACACCTCGATGACGATGTCCTTGCACGCGTCGACGAACCCGGATTGTGACATCACCGTCTTCTGGGTTTGTGCGTGAAGACCTTTCTCCTTGTGTCCGATCGTCTTGCTCGGGTCTTTCGTCAACAAGCGCCTGACGTCGAAGCGAATGACTTTCGACCCCATGCGCTCGCACTCGTTCGCGGCATCGTTCACCAAGTCCTTGTGGATCTGGCCATAGGTGATGACACCCACGACCTGCGCGAACCGCATCGAGCGGCTCTCCTCCATGGCGCAGGAAGAGTACAGGAAGAGAAGGTTGCAAGAGTGCGCTGCAGCACAGCCGAAGGCGCGCGCGTGCACTCAAAGAGCCGCAATGGCTAGTAGGCGATGGTCGATGGGCCAGCCTCGATTGTCGAGTGTCGATTGCCGATCTGGAAGATAAGCCAACTGCAGCCCAGCAGTTCGCACAGCGACTTTGAGCTCCCCTATAGGCGCCAAGGTCAGTTCCGCACACAGCAAAACCCGTCAGGGCTGCCCAAGACACAGGAACCCAAGGGCGAGCAAGCTCACCACTCCCAAGGGCCCAGCGAGGACAAACCCATCAGGGCGACGAATGAACCAGGACTCCAGCCTGGATTGAGACTATGAATAAGGGGAGCTCGAGACCGCTTCTGAGACACCCGTGCTCTTCGACATCGATTGCAGCTGGCTCCAACTCCAGGGCACAATGCAACATCCAAGGCAATATCAAGTGCAATCGCGATGAGGCAAGTATTACCACATAGTACGTGCACCTATATACGTACACATATAACACTCATGTAAGCATTGCCACATAGTACCTGCACACATGTATATATATATATATATATATATATATATATATATACATGTAGACATATATAGACACATTCCCCTTATACGCAGAGATATATGTATATATATAGACACTTGTATATATGTGTAGATATATATGTGTAGAGATATATGTTGAAATATTATAGACCCATGTATATACGTAGAGATATAGACAGGCCCAAGAGGAGCAACCTCCACCACATCATATGGGCAGCAGGGCTTGGACAGGACGGGCGAATGAGGAGGACGCTGAGGAAGGAGGAAGACAAGGAGGAAGGAGGACGAGGAGGAAGGAGGAGGAGAACGATATCGATGCTCTTTTTTTCCGTGCCAGCCCTGTCACGAAACTCTCAGTCGTCCTCGACTTCGACAAGCTCCTCTTTCTCGTCGTCGGCGGCAACGCCGTCGGAGGTACCAGCATTGCTTTGAGAGTCCTCACCTGCCTGAGCTGATTCAAACAACTGCATCGCCTCCGCCGCGGAGCTTGCTGTCCTGTACCTCACGCTCACACGGCCGTCATCGCCTGTACGTTTCAGCACGAACTGGCTCTTGGTGTAAGAGAAGCTCAGCCCAGGATAATCCTTAGTGCCGACCTTGAGCTCAGCAGGAACCTTCTCGGACGGATGCTGCCTGTGGACGATTCCCGACTTGATCTCGACCTCGCAGCACGCCTTCAAGTACATCACGAGGTCCTCCTCCAGCTGCACATACAGGGGGGTCCCAGGCCTGTCGATAATGACCTTGAAAGGGATGCCCTTGATGTCGCCCATGGTCGGACCATGTACCGTCGCTGTGGTGCCCTGAATCTCGCCGTGGTTCGACCTGAATCGTTTCTTCCATGTCCTGGAGCCAGGCGGCGGTAAGGATGCCTTCTCCATTCCGTGAACGCTAAGCTGGTCCAAGAAGGCTAGCAATGACGATCTGTATGCGTCATCTCCAAGGCGCTCCAATGTTTCACAAATCGATGTGTTAACAAGAGGCCTGATGCCCTTGGAACGCGGATGCCCAAGAAGCTTCATCACCACCTCGCAGCTCTTCTTGAGGCGAACGAATACACAACCGTTTAGCTCCCTGCAATTGTCCAGAATGACTGGCGAAGCCATGTGAGGGGCGCGCACGCGAACAACTTTGTCCACGCACCAGGCCATAGCATCCACCATGCGTCGGACATCGATATCGACGTATTCCTAGAAGCGCGCGGGAGCGCATCTACATCTGGAGCCAAACAAGCAACGCGCGACGTCGAGCGATAAGCGCATGCGACTTTCGATTGACGTGGCGTCGTGAACCGCGTTCCCCGAAAGAACAAACACACAAGGTTTGGAGCCTAAGCGTCTTAAGTAAGTTGTAAGTGGTTTAAGTGTATACGCGGCCCTGGATAAACGTTCTAAGTTTCGAGCTCGACCGCGATTTGGAACTGGGCACGGCGACGACGATGACGCCGACGAAGCGGACGACGACGACGACGATTATGTATACTTCGTGGTAACTATTGCAAGAACTCCAAAACTCCATGGGAATCCAACAGTCCATGATCGATGTCGATGCCTCATCTCTACATCGCTCCACTGCTTCGCAAATCGATGCGCGCATGTATGTTTACCTGCCGCGCGCTACTTTCTTCATGGTGGACACCTCGATGGTCGGCGGAGTGGGCCTCTTCCGCGGGGCAGCGGTCGCGACCTTGGGAAGCGTGAGCTCGT